TATGTTTCTAGGAATTTATCTATTTCTTCTAGGTTATCTAATTTGTTGGCATATGATTTGTTATACACATTCTCTTAGAAACCTTTGTATTTCTGTGGTATTGACTATTATATCTCCTCTTTCATTTCTGATTTTATTTTAGCTCTTTTTTGGGGGGGATGAATGTAACTAAAGGTTTATCAATTTTCTTGATCTTTTCAAAAAACCAACTCCTGATTCATTGATCTGTTCTATTGCTTTTTCTAGTATCTATATCATTTATTTCTGCTCTAGTCATTATTACTTCCTTCTGCTAGCTCTGGGTTTTGTTTGTTCTTTTTCTAGTTCCATTAGGTGAAGGTTGTTTGAGATTTTTCTTTCTTCCTGAGGTAGGCCTGTATTGCTATAAATTTCCCTTTTAGAACAGCTTTTGCTGCATCCCAAAGATTTTGGACTGTTGTGTTTTCATTTGTCTCCATGTATTTTTTTTATTTCCTCTTTGATTTCTTGGTTGACCCATTGACTGTTTAGTAGCACATTATTTAATGTTCACATTACTTAAAGTGGTCTTTCCAGATTTTTTTCTTGTGGTTGATTACTAGTTTCGTAGCATTGTGGTCAGAAAAGATGCATGGTATGACTTCAATCTTTTTGAATTTGTTGGGGCTTGTTTTGTGGCCTAATATGTGATCTATTCTGGAGGATGTGCCATACGCACTTGAAAGAATGTATATGCTGCTGTTTTAGGATGAAATGTTCTGAATGTATCTGTTAAATCCATCTGGCCCAATGTGTCATTCAAAGTCACTGTTTCCTTGATGATTTTCTGTTTGGATAATGTATCCATCAATGAAAGTGAGGTGCTGTAGTCCCCTACTGCTTTTGTACTACTATCGACTACTTCCTTTATGTTTGTTACTAGCTGCTCTGTGTATCTGGGTGCTCCCATGTTGGGTGCATAAATATTTACAATTGTTATATCTTCTTGTTGGATTATTCCCTTTATGATTATGAGAATGTCCTTCTTTGTCTCTTGTTATAGTCTTTGTTTTAAAGTCTATTTTGTCAGAACTATTGCTATTCTGGCTTGCTTTTCACTTCCATTTGCATGATACATGCTTTTTCATCCTTTCACTCACAGTCTGCATGTGTTTTTAGGTCTAAAATGAGTCTCTTGTAGGCATTATAGAGATAGGTTTTGGTTTTTTATCCATTCCACCACCTTGTGTCTTTTTATTGGAGCATTTAGTCCATTAACATTTAAAGTAATTATTGCTGGGTATGTACTTATTGCCATTTTGTTACTTTATGGTTGTTTTTGTAGTTCTTCTTTGTTCCTTTCTTCTCTTGCTCTCTTCTCACATGGTTTGTTGGCTTTCTATACTGATCTACTTGGATTCCTTTTTCTTTATGTTTTGCATATCTATTCTGGTTCTTGATTTGTGGTTATCATTAGGTTTGTAAATAACATCTTCTGCATGTAGCAGTCTATATTAAGTTGTTGGTCACTTAAATTTGAACCCATTCTTTACTCCTCCCTCCCACCCCCACATTTTAGGTACATGGTATCATACTTTATATCCTTCTATTTTGTGAGTCCCTTGACTGATTTTTATAGATATACTTTATTTTTACTGCTTTTGTGCTTCTTACTTTTCTTACTCCTTATGATCTTTTCTTTCCACTCAGCAAATCCCCTTTAACATTTCTTGTAGAGGTGATTTAGCTGTCACAAATTCCTTTAACTTTTGTTTTTCTGGGAAACTCTTTACCTCTCCTTCTATTCTGAATGATAGCCTTGCTGGTTAGAGTAAATTCTGCTGGCTGCAGATATTTTCCTTTCAGCACTCTGAATGTATCATGCCACTCCCTTCTGGCCTGCAACCTTTCTACTAAAAAATTAGCTGATAGCCTTATGGGTTTTCCTCATATGTAACTACTTTCTTTTCTCTTGCTATTTTTAAAATTCTCTTTTTGTGGTGCCTGGATGGCTCAGTCAGTTAAGCGCCTGATTCTTGGTTTTGGCTCAGGTACTAATCTCAGGGTAGTAAGATCAAGCCCATGTGGGGCTCTGCATTGAGCATAGAACCTGCTTAAAATTCTCTCTCCCTCTGCCCTTCCCCTGGCGCTCACTTGCTCTCTCTAAAAAATAAGAATAGGGGCACCTGGGTGGCTCAGTTGGTTAAGTGTCTGCCTTCAGCTCAGGTCATGATCCCAGGGTCCTGGGATCAAGCCCCACATCAGGCTCCTTGCTCAGTGGGAAGCCTGCTTCTCCCTCTCCCTCTGCCTGCTACTTCCCCTGCTTGTGTGCTCACTCACTCACTCTCTCTCTCAAATAAATAAAATCCTAAACAAGTAATAAATTATCACTATTCTTTGCCATTTTATTATTATGTGTCTTGGTGTAGACCTCTTTGGGTTGATTTTGTTGGGGTCCCTCTGTGCCTCCTGGATCTGGATTTGTTCCCTTCCCCAGATTTAGGAAGTTTTCAGCTGTAATTTCTTAAAGTAAATTTTCTGCCCCCTTTTTCTCCTCTTTCTGGCTCCCTATAATGCAAATGTTACTATGTTTGATGGTGACACTGAGTTCCCTAAGTCTTTCTTCATTTTTTTTTCCTCCCCCTCTGTTCAGGTTGATTGCTTTCCATTACTCTGCCCTCCAGGTCGCTGATCTGTTCTGCTTCCTCTAGTCCACATATTCCCTCTAGTGTATTTTTAATTTCATTTATTGAGTTCTTTATTTCTAATTGGTTGGTTGTTTTCTGTCTGTTGAAGGTCTCACTGAGGTCCTCCACTCTTTTCACCAGTCCATGGAGTATCTTTATGACCATTATTTTAAATCCTTTATCAGGGATATTACTCTTCATTTTTGTTTAGGTCTCTTGCTGTGATTTTGTTGTCTTCTTTCATTTGGGACATATTCCTCTCTCCCCTCATTTTGTCTAACCCTCTGTGTGTTTCTGCGTGTTGGGAAAGTCAGCAAGGTCTCTTGCTCTTGAAAGTAGTGGCCTAATGAAGATGTCCTGTAGTGCCCTGCAGTGTCCCCATTCACCAGGATCAGCACTTCAGGAGTATCTCCCATGTGTGTGCTTTTTATGACCTACTGCTGTGGATGAGCTGCTTTTGCCTTCAGTCCAGTGGTCTGCAATGGCTTTCTTTGCCAATTGTGAGCAGGATTTGGTCCCTCTGGTGATAGCCAGTCTGGGCCTGCCTTGAGCTTGAACTGAGTCAGATCAGGCATTTGCCAGAAATGCAGTAACATCAAACTGCAGGGTACTTTCCCTGTGTTGTTCCTTAAGATTTTGTTGGTGGGTGGGACCTGTAGTCAGACCAGATGTCTGCCCCCAGCCTACTGCTGGGGCCAGTTTGGTATGCATGGTTATCTTTCTGTCTCCCCAGGGCAGGAATCACTTTGGTGCTGGTCCCTTTCAGGGCAGCTTGCACAGTGCCAGGTTTGTGGCACCACCTTGGGCTCTGACCAAGGTCACATTGGAGGGGGCTGATCAGCAGGAGAACCTGGTGCAGGGCACTCGGTTTTAGGAAGGTGTGTGCAGGTGTGCTGTGGGAGGGAATGCGGAGTGCAGGCCAGGCTGAAGGGGGCATGTCTGCAGGAGAACCTGGGGATCATTTCACTGTTAGCAAGTTAGATAGCACATGTTGGCACTGTGCTGCTTCCCTCAGGTGTCTGTGTATCTCGGCTGGGGAGCAGGGGAGGGAAATGGTGCCACATGCCCCTTTGTTCCTGGAACTTTCAGCACATGCTCTGAGATTAGTAAACCTCCCTCCCATATACCCCAGGCATTTTTCAAACTGCTGCTTCTATGCTGTATCTCCACAGGCTGTTTGTTGTGCTGTCTCTATAAGGGCAGGCACTGAGTTTCCTCTCACCTCCCACCTCTCCCAGAGCCAAGCCCACGGATTTTTTTAACGTTCCAGGTGTTAAGCACTTCTGCTTGTAACAAATCATGAAATTATGCCCGGCTGGTTTTCAAGGCCAAATATTATAGGGATTCATTATAGGGATTCATCTTCCCTGTGCCTGGGGTGTTTGGTTGCCTGTGTGTTTCCCCTTTCTATGTCTGTGGCATCCCTCCTTCCTGCAGACCCATTTAGCTCCGGACTGTGTCTCTGCCCTTCCTACCCTCTTTCATGTGGCCTCTTCCCTACATTTAATTGTGGAGTTGGTTCTGCCAGTCTTCAGGTTGTTTTCGATTTACACCGATGTCATATTGTCTAGGTATATCAGTGGGATAAGGTAAACTAGGGTCCTCCTACTCTGCCATCTTCCCCAGAAGTCCCAATCACTTTTAAGTTAGGACTGCCAACGTGTCCAGCATTCAAATACTCAAACGTCCCTTTGGAAAATTTGGGGTCACAAAATCAGGCCAGGATTGCCAAACTGACCAAAAGATTGCCAATTAACCAGTTTACTTAATCATTTTATTATATTATGCTCCAAAATAATTATAATAATTATAAATATAATAATACAATAGGCTCCAGTGAGCCCCTGGGTTAGACACTGAGGAGTTGGTCATATTAAAAAAAAAAAAAAAAAAAAAAAAAGTGCTGCTGCCCTTGAAAAACTCAGGGTCTGCCAGGGGTGACAAAACCAGGACAGCATGGTAGAAGGGAACTTCTATCTGGCCCCAAATGAGAACTATTACTTATTGAGCAACTACTAGGTGCCAGACACTGTCTTCATTCCTCTCAAGACCCTCGCCCTCTTTACAGATGAGGAAATTGAGAGGTAGTTTCTCTAACACTGTAAGTGTCTTAGTAGCTGGTATTCAAATTCACATCTTTTGACTATTCATGCTCTTCACACAAATCCATGCCACCCAACCTCAGGGCATGCTTGGGCATTCGTCTGAGCCATGGCAGTGGTGGTTGGGATGGCACAGCCTCTTCTCCTGACCCAGCCTGACCCTGGCATGCAGTCACAGAGGAGGAAGAGGACACACAAACCTGCTATCTGAGCTGTCCTCATGCCTGTGTTTTCCATGGCTGTCTTCCCTCAGCCCCCAAATCAGCAGTCTTAGAAGAAATGCTTCACAACTTAGATTTCTGTGACATTTTGGTGCTTGGAGGGGACCTGGACCCAAGACAGGAATGCCTGGAGCTCAACCACAGCGAGCTCCATCAGCGACACCTGGATGCCACCAATTCCACAGCAGGCTACTCTATCTATGGTAAGACCACACTCAGCCCCTTAACCATGCTCTCCTCTCATCACACTCATGCTGGAGTCATGAGTGTGATGGTGCTCTGTCACCTGTGGAGTCAGGTAGGGACCTTTGACCTCAGAGCACGGACTCCTAGCCCCTCCTTCAGTGAGCTACTCCAGCATCTTGAGGACCTCTTCTGTAGAAAGTAGGTGGATGCTTTCTCTTACAATATTTGACCTCAGCAAATACTACAGCAGCATTTGACAGGCTGAGGCCATTCTGTTCAGAGTCTAATGTATCTGGAAATCCTTTGGGTCAGTTCAATTGGCTCCTTAGAATTCCTGTATCCATGCATTGTCTTCCCCTAAACATCTCAAGCTTTTACCCTGGACAAATTCAGGGGAACACAAGTCCCAGAAGCCACATCCTGTATCCCCCATCTTCTACCTTCTTATGACAGGTGTGGTCTCTTGGCACAGGTGTGGGCTCCATGAGTCGCTATGAGCAGGTGCTGCATCACATCCGCTACCGCAACTGGCATCCAGGTTCCCTCGAGACCCGGCGGTTCAGAATCAAGTGCTCAGAACTCAATGGACGTTATACCAGCAATGAGTTCAACCTGGAGGTGAGTGGGTCCTTCCATCATTAGGGAATTTCAGAGTTACCTACTCGTTCCTCATTCATTTGGGTCCACCTGCCACTCCTGGTCAGCAGCACCTCTCCCTGCTCTTCCTAGGTCAGCGTCCTCCGTGAGGCCAGAGTCTCAGACAAGGAGCATGTCAACCACCTTATTGTGCAGCCTCCCTTCCTGCAGTCTGTCCACCACCCTGAGTCCCAGGGTAGCATCCAGCGCAGTTCAGGTAGGTGGCCTGGGAGGAAGGACCTTAGGATATCAGGCGGTCACTGTGATTTAAGACCATCCACTAACAGGTATGGTACAGCAGCCACAGGTGCCCAGAACTGAAGGAGGGACCCAGGAATGGGAAAGCTGTGGGCCCTGCCTCTGAGGTACTCACAGCCTCAGTAAGGGGCCAGTCAGGGAAAGAAGTTACGATACATCATAACAGAGGTTAGTACAGAGTGCTAGGGTAAAACCTTCCAAGTCCTGTGAGGCCTAACTCAGAGCCACATCCTGTGCGAAGCTTTCCCTGAGCCCCTTCAAATGTGCCCTCTCGCTCTCTCTCTCTCTCTCTCTCTCTCTCACACACACACACACACACACACACACACACACACACACGTGCACACCATATTGCAGTCTCCCACCCTTCAATTCTAGTCTTGCCATTTGTATTACTGTCTGGTGGGCACTGTGTCTGTCCCTATGAAATTCTGGTGCCTGGCTCTCAGTGGAAGCTGCCCCAGAATTTGAGGGGAAAGCAAAAGATAGAACATACATTCACCATTTGATTTATTCCTCACAAGTACCCATTACAGAGATGAAGAAAATGAAGCCCAGACAGGGTGAGGTGCTGGCCCAGAGTTCTACAGCTGAGAAGTGGTAGGGCCGATTGTAACCTACACATGGATGTTTCATTCACACTCCATCCCAAGACTGAGCTAGTCCTTCTGTTCGCCACGTCATGTGGATTCCTTCCTTGTTCCAGTGGTTCCAAGCATCGCCACAGTGGTCATCATCATCTCCGTGTGCATGCTGGTATTTGTCGTGGCCATGGGCGTGTACCGGGTCCGGATCGCCCACCAGCACTTCACCCAGGAGGCGGAGGCTGCCAAGGAGGCTGAAATGGATTGGGACGACTCTGCGCTCACTATCACAGTCAACCCCATGGAGGTGATCCTCATGCAGGGGCTGGGATCTTGGGGCAGGATGCTTCCCCTCCCCCAGCTCCATCTTCCCTGTGCTGGAAGCCCTGCCCCAACTAGCCCAGCCCCACTGACTCTTGCCTTCTCTGAGCACCTTCAGCCCACTCAACCTGCATGGACCATACTTTCCCACCAGCTGCATTCACTGATTAAAAATGTGAATTGCTCTCACCCTACAAACAGAACCAGACATTTCTTAAGGCAAGCAGCCATGTGGTGTCTATCCCTTGCCTCCCCCATAGTGTTTAACACAGAGCTAACATTTAAAGACTCAGTATTGAATTTTTTGATTAACAGTGTAAAATAGATGGCTTTGCTCCATGCTGCCTGCAGAGCTCACTTAAAGGCTCAGAATAGGTTAAAACAAAATCACAACAGCAATGCCTGCCATTCACTGAGCCCCCATCATGTCAGACACTGCACAGGGTGCTCTTTATACACCACCCCATTTAATCTTCCCAATGCCCTGTGAAATAGAGGTTCTCATCCTTACTTCTCAAGGTGGGAACCAACTCAAAGAAGAAAGTCAAAGTGCTCAAACTTATATAGCTAGAAATGGCAGTGCCAATATTCAAGTCAAGGTTGCTGGATCCTAAAGTCATCTCATTTCAGTTAGCCAGCAACCTCCAGCATCCACCCATGAGGGTCTAAGGCCCCAGCTCTGGACATACGAGTATCAAAGTGCCCTTTGGGCTGCCCATGGTTTCCTCAGTGGTGGTAGGGGCAGGAGTAGAAAAGCAGAGGAAAATCAGGAGGAGCCACTGAGGAATGAAGATTCTCCCAGCGTGGTCCCCCTGAGTTGGCCTCACGCTCCGGTATCCTAGCCAGCGTGCCAAAGTAGCTCAGCTTCTCCTAGCATAGGGTGAAGGTATGGTGCTAAGCGTGCCACTGTGGGGACACCGGCATTTCCACCCTCAGAGAGCTGAGCCTCAGCTGTGGGAAACAAGGCCCCCCCCCATGCCTGGAGCAGTCTGGGTACTGGGCACAAGTGTTCTTACCGAGGGCTAACATGCTGATGCCAGTGGTCAGTGAAGCAGGAGTAGGGAGAGCCATCAAGGCTGGAGTATTCAAGAAAGATTTCCTAGAGGAGGCTAGCCTAAGGGAGGCCTTGAAGAATGGGTTAGGATGGAAGGGAGGGGTGGCAGGCAACGTAAAAAAGAAGGCACTCCAGGGAGGGGATGCAACCATGCAAGGGCATCCAACTTTTATGGCTGTTTCATCAACTCAAAACATAAATCCAGAACTAAGATTTTGCTAGAATCACCAAAAAGCTGGCTGGGGGTGGGGGTGGGGCAGAAATGGAACTGGACAAGAGTGGGGTTGAGTGTGAGGACACAAGTCTCAGCCAGTGAGGGGAGGCATGGAAAATGAGGGCTGTGAACGAACTTTCCTTCCCGAAGGGATATTTCTGAGGAGCAGCACACCTGAGTCTTGGCTTAGAAGACCTTCTGCTCCCAGAGACTATGATGTCACCTGGGAACGGGCTGTATGCTTCTCAGTGAGAGAATAGCATTCGAGCTAACACTGAAGATGTGGAAAGCTCCATAGAGACAGGCTCCAGAAATGCCAGAAAGTAAACCTTGGCCTGAAAGGTTTCCAAAGAAGGGAAGGACTGGCTTCGATGTCTTATGTTTAAAACCCACCATTTACCTTGAGTCCAGGTCTGGGAATTTGCTATTTCTTCTTGGTCCTTAGCCCTTGGATTTGCCTTTCACCAGAGGACCTCCCGTCCAGGAGGCCTGTCCCTAGGGCCATGGGTTTAGCAGGAAGGGAAAGGCATTGAAGGGGCCCAAAATGTTCCCTTAGTGGAGGGAGAAACATGTAAGTTCCAGAGTGGTTTTTGCTCAGCCCCTGATGAGCATGTCCCTTCTCTCCCCAACATCCAGAAACATGAAGAACCAGGGCATGGGGAAGAGGAGACTGAGGAAGAGGAAGAAGTAGAGGAAGACGTGAGCTCCAGCAGCAGTGAGTCAGAGGACAGCGAAGAGGAAGAGGAGGAGGAAGGGGTCGGCAGGGGCAGGCACGGGCAAAGCGGAGCCAGGCACACCCAGCTGGAGTGGGATGACTCGGCCCTGCCCTACTAGCACCCCGCTGCCTGCGCCCACTCACGCGGCCCTTTTGTAAGCCCCACCCGATGTATGCCCGAGTCTATCACGTGTCGCCTCTGATTCCTATGACGGGTCTGGGCAGGCCTTCTCCAGCCTCCTGAAAGCCACCCTTTATGCCTTGGGCACTCCCTGTGTCCCAGCCCTGGGGAGGGTCCAAGACTCCCAGGGTCGTCATTAGTGGGGACTTCCAGGGGGACTTTGTCCTGTAGCCCCCCATGTCTGCCCTGGGCTATCCCAGCATCCTGTCAGCCAGTCTGCAGAGTTCTGCCTGTGCTCTTCTCTACAGGGGAGAAAGTCAGCCTTTATATCACTCACCTCCCCCGGACTCCCTGTGCCCAGGGCCCTTGGGTTCCAGCTCACTGTGCGTGCACCTGCCCCCATCTCCTCTTCCACACAGACCAGCAGGTTCTCCTTCCCTGACTCTTCAGGTGGCTTCACACGGGCAAGGTGGTCAGACTTCACACACAAGAGGTCTCCATTCTTAAAGGAAAGTCCTTGTTGAGGCAGAATTAATGTATAGGGAAAGGTTCACATGGACGCACGCACACGCACTCATACGCTCTCCCCAGTTCGGAGAGCCTTTCCCTTTGTCCTTTCTGATGCCACACAAGCTTAGATGAAAAGTCCAAAACCAAGAAGAGGTCCTTGGCCACAGCAGGGTCTGGTCCCCAGCCAAAGCTCTCTGTCAGCCTGCCTTGGCTGCCCTGCTGGGGGCTGCCACCACACATCACAGGAACCAGGAAGCACTCCACAGAGGCACCGCCCCAGGCGACAGCGTGACAAGCCTGCAGCCAGGGATCAGAAGGAAAGGCTGATAGGATGAGCAGCTGGGCATCACGGCGGGCACAGATCTGGGGGACGGGGGTGGTGGGGGTCTCCCCAGAGGGCAGCCAGAGGTTGACAAGGCTTTCAGCATCTAGTCTTAGGGTCCCTCATCACCAGTTTCACACTGTTTTACCTCTTGAGAAAATGCATCCCTCTCAGATGTGTTAGTGTGAACTGTGAATGTGCCGAATCTAAAATGAAAGTTTGGAGATTTGAATGCTGGGAATTAGGAGCATATCTGTGATTGGAAGAGCTGCTGCTTTATTCTTCTCATAAAAGGAGCAACGCTTTGGGTGGGGGGCAAATATATCTGAAAACCTAATTTCTTGTTTTAATAAGAAAATCTTTTCCAACTCCACCCTAACATGGACACCTCGTGAGAAGGGTTGCTATGGTAACTTGTGTGCGCTCTTTTGTGACCAAGAGAAGAGCAGGCAAAAACAGGGCCATTCTAGGACTTCCACAAGGCTCTGAGACCGTCTTTGTTTCGAATGTCTCTGGCTTTGTCCTCCGTCTATACGATCTGTCCCTTCCTCCCGCCCTCCCCCAGCCCAGCCCATACTGGCAGAGGCACAGAGCTGGCCCCTAGTCACGGTGGCATTCAAGTTCAAAAGCAAGTTGAGAATCTGTTTATTCTACTCACCATGTCACCAAAACAGAGCTTAAAGGGGGGGGGGGGGTCCATCATCAATGTCCTCTAGTTTGACCTCCATCCATGAGCAGCCCCTGCAACCTTCTGATTCAAGCAAACTACCTGATGCAGCTTTTCCACCACTGATAGTGGTTCTTGCATATCCGTTTCCCTCCTTTGAGCCTCACCATAATTCAGTCAGAGAATTGGGACATCTATTGTCAGGCATATTTTGAGTAAACTGAGGTTCGGAGCTTCAGCACCTTGCTCAGAGTCATTTAGAGCCAGAGACAAGACCAGACTCCCCACCTTCCACTCTTGGTCCAGTGCCCACCCACCCCACTTCTATTTATATTCATATATATACACAGCTCGCAGGCACTTCTGAGGACCTACTATGTGCTAAGCACTCAGCCAGCAGCCCTACAAAATGCTAAAGCTGAGGAAGAGGAGCGCCTCCCCTCCGAGGATATAATCGTTGCAGATGGGTACCCAACAGGCATAGAAATTATACGAAACAGACCCAGAGCAGGGAGAGAAGTCACGGGAGGAAGAGGCACACAATCACAAACTCAATCAGTGCTCTAATTTTTCGGAAAAATGCAGGCAGAAGTTCGGGATTTTATATTCATTGAATGGAAACAGACACTTCTGTGAATTCTCCCAACCAAAATGCCCTTTTTCTATCAGGCTGTGTCTGCACATCTACAAGGAGAAAATCTCTAACACTGCTTAGAGGAGTCTTAAACACCCCTACCATACGTTCAAGGAAAGCAGCCTTCCCATTTACCAAGGGAAAGTAGAGTCCCACCACTCCCTTCATTAAATAAAAAAAGATTCTCCAGTTGGGCACTTAGGAGCTAACAGAATTCTCCCAAAATTATGGCAGTATAACCGAATTTATGGTTCAAAACCCATTTTTTTTGTTATAAGAAATTTTTTTAATGTTTCAAGTTTCTAAATTCTAGTAAATTAACATAGAGTGTAATATTAGTTTCAGGAGAATTCAGTGATTCATCACTTACATACGACACCCAGTGCTCATCACAACCAGTTCTTTTTCAACTGAATTTCCATTTAAAATTATAGGTCTGGTTTTCATGAGAGCACCTTGCAGAGTCCTTTTGGTTTGGTTGGGGTGGGAAGGGCTTCCTCATGCCCTCTGGCCAACTCCAATGCTGCATCACTTACTCATGGCTGAGTGGGCTATTTGGAGCATAATTTGGGGAGGGTATTGAGGGATCAGGTAAAAGTGGCACTTGGCTAAGGACACAGGGTTGAATCATTAGGTGGCTAGATTGATGTAGAGAAATAATGGAAACAAGTCAGGACCCTCTCCATCAACTCCTGTTGTGCGAAGCCAGACTGCATGTCAGCTCCAAAAATGAGGCATAATAATACTGCTGGGTCAGTGGGCATTTATCATGTTCCCAACACCCTACTCAACAAGAAGGAGTGGTTATATAAAAGTAGAAGAAGCTTCAGGGACTATTCAGGTGAGTGGCGAGTAATGTAACTTGCCCTCCACCAGATATTCTAATGATGAGCGAAAAAGGTCATTAATCAGCCCAGCATTTTTCCAGGTTCCATATGCTGATATCTGGGAACCAGAACTCCCAGATGGCCCAGACACCGTGTGGCCTCTCATCCAGAAGCAGCAGATGCAGGCTCATACCCCAGAGGAACAGCTGACCAGGTTGGCCACAGGCCAGACCATTGCTTATCTTGCCAAGAAGATGACCAGATTCTGCTCTCTGGAGCTGGAAAATAGATAGGCTGAAACCTCTCAACTGATTCGGGTGACAGGGAGGAAGAGGAAGACAAGGTTGAAATGGAAAAGGCCAGTATAGAATGAGCTGCCCAATGGAGTAAAGCAATCAACTTGTTGGTCACCTGTCTTAAAGAATACCAAAAGTATATTCGAGTAGGTTAATCAAATGCTTTAAATCTGACCAAGGCCCAAATTTATGTAGATAACAAAAATGTAATTTGAGTCGGATCTTATTTCATTACCACTTTCTTAAATGTTCTCAATCATCCTATTGAGCAGGGTTTAGACCACACCTCTCTGCAGGTAGCAAGAGCTGCACCTTGTGGACACAGACCCCCCAGGGAGAGGGCTCCTGGTGGGAAGCAATGTCCTCCATGCCTGTACATACAGCAGATGTCAGCAAACTTTATCTATAAAGAGACAGATAGTAAATATTTGGGGCTTTGCAGGCCATATGGTCTCTGTTGCAAGTATTCAAATCTGCTACTGTAGCATGAAACAAACCACAGACAATACATAAACGAATGGATATGGCTATGTTCCAAAAAAAAATTATGAATACTAAAAAAGAAAATTCGTCTTATTTTCACATCATGAAATTTTATGACTTGTTGATTTTTACTTTTTGACCATTTGAAAAATTAAAAAACTCCTCTGAGCCCATGGGCCATACAAAACCCAGCAGCCTGCCAGATTTGGCCTGTAGGTCATAGTATAAACACCCCTACCATACGTTCAAGGAAAGCAGCCTTCCCATTTACCAAGGGAAAGTAGATGCTATCTTAGACCCTTCCTTCAACTACCCAGGGGTCTTTACCTCCAAAATGAACAACAACTCCATAGCCCTTAGTTAGGCTCTTTTAAATGTCCGTGTCCCAGCGAGAAAATGACAACAAAAAACACCTGTTACTGGTCAAATTGACTTGAACACACAGGCAAGCACTCATGCAGAATGCCAAGCCCTCGGTACAGGAACTGTGTGACCACTGAGCGCTAACCCGCTTGAGCTCAGGGCCAACTCCCAGGCACAGAGCCTTCCCAGCACAACTCAGCCCATAATGATTTCTAAGCGGGGGTGTTCATCATCTGACTGATTTCCATTTCAGCCCTGTTCATGCCATTGCTCTAAAAATGATCCTAAAGACTTTTGACTGTTTGAATCAATAGCAACATAATCAGTAGAAAGCCCTACCCAGCACATTTCAAAATTAGCAGTCTTCATGGCTCTATGATTCAATATTAGCAAGAGGAAAAGAGGACTTTTTCTTAACCATCCTCTCACTGAAATTAACCAAATCAGTTTTACAAAAAAAGTGAGGGAGTGAGTTTAATTCTTTGAAAGAATTTACAAGTGAAAAGTAGATGATTTTCAGGTAAGATCATTCTCAGGCCTTTGGGGGATCCTCCAAGCCCCTGCAAAATACTCTGGAGAGCTACGGACAGTACAGGATCCTCTATCTGCAGCAAACTTTTATCGAGGCTGACAAGCCAAAGCCCTTGGCACAATTTAATTTTTTATGTAATCACTTTCCACTGCCCAACTGTAGGCAAAGGAAATGAACAGTGAAAGTCTTGAAGTCTACTCCAGCACTTTCATTTCCCTGCCTTTATTTTATTTTATAAATTTATTCTATACCTACTTTATAGATCTTGTTCTAGTTTTCTTTATGGTGCCAACTACAAAGGAGAGTTGGCTCTACAAGGGCTATAGATTAGAAGTCAAACTTGACTCTATCCCAAGACAACACAAAGAGATACAAGAAGGTACCTCCACCAGCACCCCAGAAAGCAATCAAACATTCCCTGGATGCCATTAGTGAACAGATGGGATTCTGTGTTTGCAGCTATGTTCAATGTAATTCAGCAAATCCTTGCTGAGTGCCCATGGTGTGCCAGGCCCTGTGCCAGAAATGGGGGAAAGGTGGATGACTGAGGTGTGGCCCTGCCCAGGTGGGTCTTCCAGGCTCATGAGCTGTTGGCATGCTTCCTTTACGGTGTTGGAGGCTGTCCGAGAGCAGTTGGAACAGGTGCAGGCAGAAGTTTAGAGTTGAGGGAGGTGGGTAACTTGCTTTGGCAATTCTCCACCCTAAGTCAGATGGCAGGTGTCATTCTGGGAGCCCTCGAACACACTGCCAAGGTCAAAATAGGAGAGCTCTAGGGAAGCAGGCAGTGCTTCCCCTAGATGTTTCTGATTCTGCCCCAGCCCAACCCAGGTCACTTATGGATGAAAGCCAGTCACGCTGCCTACGAGGTGAGTATCACATGGCTGAAGGCTGAGATTCAGTGAAACTAGGCCAAAGGAAGTTCTTCAGTATGAAGAGCAGGCAGGCAGACCTGGAAAGTAAGCCAAGTACAGGGGCCTGCATGTGCCAAGTTCCAAAGACACGAAAAGCCTGATGTGAGGGTGCACCCCTGAGGCCTAAAGTCAGGGCTGAGGAGGGAAGAAGGGCCCTGACTTTGTAGGACCTGCTAAGGGGCCACAGGACACTGGAGAGCAGAGGTTCTTAAGGTGCATCCCTGGACCAGAGCATCACCTGGGGATAAGAGAGAAATGCAAATTCTTGGGATCCACCCAAGAGCTACTGCATCAGAAACCAGGGGTGGGGCCTAGCAGTGTATGTTTTAAGGCTCTCTGATCCTGATGCACTCTAAAGGTTTGGAAACCACTGATGTAGAGGATGAGAGTGACTTTCACTGGCCCTGGGAGGAGAGGATTAATAGGCTAAGAGAGTCCATCACTAGTGTGGAAGAGAGGGGGTCAAAGCAGAGCTCCCCGTGAACCGTCCAGGGCCCTCCAGACTCTCTCTAGTCCATACTCCCTGAAGCAGCGATTTCAAGGAACTTTGGGCCTAGTCCCAACTTCATTCCTCCCCTGGGGCAGAAGCCACCTCCTGCTGGTCTAGCCCCTTT